TTCCTACAACGGTCTGGCATAACCCCTGGCTGCTAACCAGGGTGTTTCCTAGTCATAGATGCTTCAGCAGCTCCTCTAGGGTAGTTTTTTTTTTTTTTTTTTTTTTTTCCCTTTCTAGGGTGTGGTGCTGATGTATTAAGCACTTTTTGGCCTTTTTTATTTAGTGGAGCACTAGATTTGTTTGATAGCATTTATTTGAACTAGCCGTTGAGTGTTTTTCGGCTTCTTCAAGTTATCTATTGACAAGCTGCGATTGTTGAATATCTTCACACTAGCTTGAGGGGAAGTGTTGAATATAAAAATTAGAGTACATTGAATCCTTTTATTTGTGGTATTATGTATATAATCTGTGATTGTGTCAATTACTGATTTAGTATTGTTTCCTAATTTATATCGTTTCCTAAATTGTATCATGAATCTATTATATACATGGCCCCTACCTTATTCATGTGTAAGCCAAATAATTCTTTTCATTCTTTTCTTTTTACAATGCAACTTCCTCTTGCCCATTAAGCTATCTCCAAAATCTGACCCAAGTACCAGAACCCTTTCATAGAGAAGCTATATCCAAAATCTGATAATATGAATCACCAAAAATTTGTAACCAGAGCAGCACAGATACCTTAATAGAGAAGCTATGCTTGCACTTAATGCTAAAACTTCAGGGGCATGCCAATAACTATATTCATAAGTTTAGACACATAGAAGACAATTTTTAGATGTGAACCAACATATAAAAGAAGCATTGCTTATAGGATGAACACATCCATTTGTGAACCATTAGAAAAATAAAATAATAAAAAGTTTAACATCATATTTTCCCAAGCATTCAATCGTCTTACTCTTCAATATATGAAAAGAATATAACTATAGAGAATATATATATATATATAATAGACGTGTTGTAGAAGAATATGATAGTGTATGTAATTTGGACCCACCTTTTGGGTGAGCCTCGGATATAGTTGTCACTACAAAATAAAAATAAAAAATACCTTTTCAGCCATGCAGAGATCTTTATTATAACTGCAGAATTCATTTTGCTCATTCAAAGAGTTGTATTAAGTACCTCTAAGAAATATGATTATCCACTGTTAGTGTTTTGTGTTGTGGATCCTTAGCGTTTTGTGGGAGAGCAGCATGATATGGGATGCAGAGGAGCTATTATTGCCCAACTCCCTAACCTAATGCAGGCCCCGGTTCGAACCTGAATCACCTAACTTGAGTGACCAGCCAGGCAGACTGCGCATTAAAACGCAGACCCACTAATTTTGCACAAGTTTGGGCCAAATCCGAATGGAACTAACCATGCTGTGCCAAAAAAACAAAATTTACTGTTGATGCATGCCACATAAAACAGAGGCACATGAAACAAGGTCTTACGTGACTTAACCACTGCCATGTAAATGCCTTGGTAATACACACAATCGTGTGAGGCATTACATCCAAAGAGAAGACTTGATGTTTTCCTCCTTCATTCGATGTGGAAATTGGAACTGAATAAGTCACATGATGTGGGATTGTCTAAGAATTATTTGAAACATATATACACATGCACTACAAAGAAGTACATATATACACTCCGCAGCTGCTCCCGCTTTGAAGGTATTTTTGTAGAAAACGCTCTCGCTCTCGTGCTCCCGCTCCGACTCCAGCTTCGCTCCCGCTCAACAAATCGGTGACTTAGGTTCGGACTGCGGGAAACCTGAACCTTCCAAATAGTTCTCCTTACATTTCTCTCTTCATGTTCAACCTTAGCATAGACAGGAGAACTTATACAAGACATTTACATTTTTAAAGTCTTAGGTGGGGAGAAGGCAGGAAAATCCATTCCTTTTCTTGTATTGTTTATTATGATTGATCTGCAGGTTCAAAGGCACTCTTCTTAATCCAAAAGTGTCTTGGTTAACAAAATTATTCAATAAGATTCTAATAACGAGAAAAATATTTGACCAGTGGAGAAAAAGTATTTAGTACCTATTTATAAAAATAAAAGACATCTAGAGGTATTCATTGATGATTCATGCAAAGAAATTGTGGGAGTGAGTGATTGAGCATCGCTTAAGAGTGACAACAACATTGTCAAAGAATTAGTTCGGATTTATGCTCCATCAATCCAATACAGAAGTGATATATTTATTAAGGAGATTAATAGGAAAATACAAAGAAAAGAGGAGAGATGTTCATAAGATTTTTATAGATTTAGAAAACGCTTATGACAATATGGTGGATGTAGAAAATTTAATGTATAAAGAGAAATAGAGAATTGTATTATTGATTGATATATGTGTAGATACTGGATATTACAAATGGTGAGTGGCTCATTATATAGGAGATGGTGAGTGTAGTAGGTGAGGAGTAGGTGGTGGTAGGTGATGGTAAATTGGTGGTAGGTGATGGTAAATTACAAATGGTGAGTGGCTCATTATTGTATTATTGATTGATATATGTGTAGATACTGGATATTACAAATGGTGAGTGGCTCATTATATAGGAGAGGGTGAGTGTAGTAGGTGAGGAGTAGGTGAGGAGTAGGTGGTGGTAGGTGATGGTAAATTGGTGGTAGGTGATGGTAAATTTTAACAGTGGATGTAAGAAAAAATTGGAGAAACAAATGGGTATATTTATGCAATAAAGAACACATGTGATGGGCATGTGACTACAATTAGATCACTTGCAAAATATAAAAGTGAGTTTCTGATCATCAATTACACCAAGGGTCAGCTTTGAGACTTTATCTATTTACTTTAGTTATGGATAAATTAATTAGACACATTCAAGATAATGTCCCATGGGGTGTGCTATTCACAGATGATATTGTTGTGGTGCAAGAAGCTAAAAGAGATATTAATACTAAATTAAAAATTTTGAGAGAAGCACTTCAGTTAAAAGGGTTTAAAATAAGTGAGACTGAAGCTAGATATATAGAATATAACTTTAATAACAATAGAAGCAGAAATAGTGGACAAGTAAAGATTGCAAACCAGGAGAAACTAAAGAGTGAACAATTTTATTATCCAAGTTCCACTATTCATAAGAATTGAAAAGTTTGAGATGATGTGACCCATAAAATGAAAGGAGGTTAGCTCAAGTGGAAATATATTTCTCACATATTATATGATTGACGAATAACAATAAAATTTAAAAAATGACCTTGAACAACTATAATGGCATCTATGTTGTACAAGACAAAATGTTGAGTATCTAAGAAAGATAGAATTAAAATAACGTGGTTCGGCCAATATTGGCCCACATCCACACACACAAAAAGCCCTAGGATGCTACATCTTTCATTCACACAACTTTATACTCTTGTTTACATCATACACCATATATATATAATGGGAGATACAATCAAATCCCTTCAGTTAAGGAATTGAAATAAATCAAAGATTTAAATCATAATAAACACAAATCATGAGATCTCCATATATTCTAATATATTTCATATCTTCTGATATCTTTGACAATATAATCTTATCTCCAACAATAAATACATTTGTGAAATGGTAAGAGTAGTTCAGTTGAAAATAATTTGAGAGAACAAACTACAATTGTTTGGTCATGAATAATAAAGACCGATAAATGCAATGGTAAGAAAGAGTGATATAAATTTATTTAGTTTAAATAAAATAAAACCCTTGGCAGAGTGCAATGGTGGAAAAGGATTCATGTAACTAACTCCAATTGATTGAGAGACACAAGGCTAAGTTTGATTTGGTATTTGCAACTGAAAATTTTGCAGGATCTTTGAAAATCTCTAGGTTTGCAAAGTTCATTCCTCTCTTTGCACACAACAAAAAGCAAACAATTAACCTGTGGTCACCAAAATAATATTTCTATTCTTTCCCCTGCCTTAAATCACTAAGCATCATCACTATTGCAGATTTTAGTAGGTGCTACGAAATATAAAGCAAAATATAAATCCCAAAGATTCTAAGCCACCAAACAAAATATAAATTCCTAGTAAGATTCAAAATTGTACTTGTTTTATTGTAACCTTCCTCATAGCTTCCATGCAACTTCTTAGTCTGTGATAAAGCTTGTCAAAAGTGACTGCGTAAGATTATTGCTGTTTAAGTGCGAAAATCCCATCACTTCTGCGAAGTTGTTAAGGAAAAAACTGATGCACGCAGAAAATTTGATCAACATAAATTGAAATGAAGTTCCAATTCAACTCATTGTCATGACAATCATTTACTTAAACTTCCGAGGTCCAACTTGATAAAGAAACCTGGGAGACATAGAAATACCTACCCAGACGTCTATAATGATTCTCACTAATCAAATCTATTCTTCTTCTTCTACTTCTTCTTTTTTTATTTTTATTTTTTCCTGGTAAGCACAATTTTATCATAAATCATCAAAGAGAGAATTTTTTTTTTTATTAAACAAACAAATTATATCTGTAAGTACAGTTAAAACCTATAGCTAAATAATCCATAGTTACACGAAGCGGAAGCGGGAGTAGGAACGGAGGAGCAAGGGCCCTTCAAAAGAGTTTAAGGTTGAAATCGGGAGCGGGAGCGGGGGGCAGGGGTGGCGAAAGCGAGGAGCAAGGCCCCTATAGGAGTTTCTTGCTACTAAGACACAATCACCAACTCCTAAATGGTTAGCATATGGCATGAGGTTGTCATCCATTTCATACTTTCAACATCAAATGCCTATGCATCCACTAGAAGATAAGCCACATCATCTCTCACCACATCAAATGCAATCTATACCTAATTAAACATGTTAGACTTACAGCTGGGTGAAAGTAACAAGCCACCAATGACATAGGGTAATCCCCGAAGTTAAATAAAGAAAAAGAGACCAAAACAAATCATGAATTACTTAACTCTCATTTTTTTTTTTAATATTTTATTTATAAAGAATATTAACTATCATTGAACAATAAAAAGCAAATAATTCATTTAAAATTGTTATTTATGCCAGTCTTGGAGCTTAAATCACAACGAAATGATATATGAGAAGATAAACTAATACACAAAAATTACCAAGCTCAGTAAAACTAGGCTCTATTTTTGCCCGATGCGAGAGAGTATTGATAACTTCTTTTTGGCTCATGTGAAGTTGGAGACATTGCTCAATAAGAGTTTGTACCTGTAATTAGATAAAGACATATCACAAATGATTACTTATGACGGCAGACAGATATTATACAAATTAGGTAAATAAGTGCCTATTTACACAACACCCCTTCTGGTGTTTTTTAATATAATTTACTTATAAAAAATAAGGAACTAAACCTTCCTATTTGACACAAAACAATAAAAATAAAACTAAAACTTGAATTTAAAATGGCCATTTTTAACACTCAAATAAAATAATATGAAACTTCAATACACATGCTTGTATTCAGGATGAATGAGGATAAATGATTAAGTTGACTGATCATTCATGGTTCTAGATTCTAGGACCCCTTATTACATAAAATATTATAAATACTTATACTAATAACTAGCATATCACCCGTGCTATGCACGGGATAAAATAATATATTATTTAATAAAAATATGATAACTATATTAAATTTTTTTTATATTATGTAAAATAAAAATTAAATGGAAGCTAGTCAATCGAGATTTTCTTAATTGTTTAAAATTAAGAAAATCAAAAAAATTAGTATGAAATATTGATCATAAGGCTTCTCACTAAAAATCTCATTTTGCTTATATAAATGAGAGTATAAGATTCACTTTATGTAAGTAAAATAATTCACTTTTTCTTTCTTTTCTCCTATGAAGCACGGAGACAGACACGGACACGGACACAGGACACGTCAATTTTTAAAAAATGGGGACACAGACACGGTAGGGGACACGGCAGATTTTTTAATTTTTTTATAAATATTTTTATTTTAATACATATTAATTATTTTATTTATTTATTATATTTTTTAAGTAATATGTTCTAATTAATTTTTTTATTTTATTTTATATACATGTTTATTTATTTTTATTAATATGTATAAGTATATATAATATAATAGTTATATAATAATAACTGGTGGCATCCTTTATAACTATTATAAAAATAATACTTTCAGTTATTATTATAATATAATAATAATAGTTATATTATATATATATGAATCCAGCAGATTATAATAATAGTTATATATTATATACATATATGAATCCAACAGATTAAAAAAGATAAAGACGCGACTGAGAAAGAGAGAAGAGGAAGCGATCGATCGCGATCGCGATCGCGAGGGAGAGAAGGTGAGAGAGAGAGCTCGTCGCAGTCGAAGGGCGACTGGATCGTCGAAGTCGAAGGGGATGGAGGTCGCCGGCGAGTCGACTGGACTGGATCGAAGTCCAGGTTTGTTTCAAGACCTTTACTCTTCTCCTTTACTCTTGTTTTTTGCTCTCTGTGTCCAAATTTGGTGGACACGCGTGTCTCCGCCGTGTCTCCACCGTGTCCCCTACAAAAAAATAATTAAATTAAAGGGACACGCCACTCGGCGTGTCCCGTACGTGTCCCCGGCGTGTCCCCGTGTCAGACACTGCCACGGCATGAAATCTGCCGTGTCCATGCTTCATAGCTTTTCTCGATGTAGGATTATAAAATAAAAGTTAAATAAAAGCTAGCCAATTGGGATTTTCTTAATTGTTTAAAAGTTCAACAATTGTTTGGGCAGAAAATTTATTTTGAATCAAGCAATCTTAGCTTTTTAATCTTTAATTAGGTCAATCTTTAATTTATTTCGAAACAAACAAATTTAACCAATATATTTTGATACAACAGCTAGAATCGTAGTTAAACCAGTGAATCAGTCAAACCGAAGACGGGTCATTCTATCGGCTAGGTCAAAGGACCAACCAACTTATACAAAAATTAATTAATTAAAACTTTTAAATTTTATTTTAATTTTAAAATTTAAACTGTCTTAAACTGAAATATACACAACACTACAATATTGAAAGGGAGCATAAGGTTTATATAGTGAAACAACTCATTTTTTACTCCTTTTTCTGATATGAGATTAGAAAATAAAAGTTAACAGTTGTTTGGACGGGAAGTTCATTTCTAATTAAGCAATCTCAGTCGTTCAATTTTTAATAAGGTCAATCTTAGTTTATTTCAAATCAAACAAATCTAAGCAATAAATTTTGATAAAACAGCTAAAATAGTGGTTAAACCAGTGAATCAGTTAAACTGAAAACGATTCATCCTAATCGGCCAAGTCAAAAGACCAACCAATTTACAACAAAATTAATTAATTAAAACCTTTAAATTTTATTTTAAAACTTAAACCATCTTGAACTGAAACATACACAATATTATAATATTAAATGAGAGTATAAGATTCACTTTATATAAGTGAAACAACTCACTTTTTATTTCTTTTCTCGATGTAGGATTGTAATTATTTTAAAGTTAAATATTATGAGAGTTTCAAAATCACATACAAAATTATTTTTAAAATCAAAATGTCTATGTGGGATTATACAATAAAAGTTAAATGGAAACTAACCAATGAGAATTTTCTTAATTGTTTAAAATTAAGAAAATCAAAAAAAAAAATGGTATTGATTTTAGAACTTCTCACTAAAAATCTTCTTTTGCTTATATAAATGGGAGTATAAGATTCACTTTATATAAGTGAAACAATTCACTTTTTTCCTTCTTTTTCCGATGTGGGATTGTAAAATAAAAGTTAAATGGATATACACATTGAATTGTAGATTGAAACTGTGTTTACAAAAGCACATTCACATAGCACGGGTGATATGCTAGGAGTATTGTACATGTGTTTTTAAACACACAAACAAAAAAAAAAATTGATATTGATCATAGGACTTCTTACTAAAAATCTTCTTTTGTTTATATAAATAAGAGCATAAGATTCACTTTATATAAGTGAAACAATTCACTTTTTCCTTCTTTTTCCGATGTAGGATTGTAAAATAAAAGTTAAATGGAAGCTAACCAATAAGGATTTTCTTAATTGTTTAAAATTAAGAAATTTCAATAATTTATATAAATTGGAGCATAAGATTCACTTTATGTAAATGAAACAATTTACTTTTTTCTTTTTTTCTTTTTTTCCAGATTTGGGATTGTAAAATAAAAAGTAAATGGAAGCTAGTCAATCAGAATTTTTTTAATTGTTTAAAATTAAAAAAATTCAATAATTTTAAAATGAGGGTTTAAGACCTTCTAGAAGGCTTCTCCCTTAAAACTCCCTTTATAAGATTCATTTTATATAAGTGAAACAACTCACTTTTTCTATATTTTCCCGATGTGGGATTGTAAAAGTGGAACAACTCATTTTTTTCTTTCTTTTCTCGATGTGGGATTGTAATTTTATTGAGGTTAAATATTATGAGAGTTTCAAAATCTCATACAAAATTATTTTTAAAACCAAAACTATGTAGGATTGTAGAATAAAAGTTAAATGGAAGCTAGCTAATGGGGATTTTCTTAATTGTTTAAAATTAAGAAAATAAAAAAATGAGTATTGAGATATTGATCATAGGGCTTCTCACTAAAAATCTCATTTTACTTATATAAATGGGAGCATAAGATTCAATTTATGTAAGTAAAACAATTCACTTTTTCTTTCTTTTTCCGATGTGGGATTGTAAAAGAAAAGGTAAATGGAAGCTAGCCAACGGAAATTAGAAAGACATAGTTTAGGTTGGTGAATTTATAATACTCAATCATTTTGTAAACTCATATGCATGTTAAAAATAAAAATAAAAATCAAATTTATTCTAAAATCATGTTCATGTGATTTCAATGTATTTATTTTTAATAAAAATATATGATCTATTTATAAAATTATATATATTATTTATTTTTAAAAATTAAATATAATAAAATTACGTGATTATAAATGATAGTCTCGCGCAAAATAAATCGAACTTTAATTTGTTGAGAATGTTGCTAATCACCAAACCAAACCAAACCAAACCAAGCCTTAAGTCCCATTAAATGGGTTTGGCTACATAAATCTTTCTTCTCCATGCGGCCCTATCAACGGTCATTTCGTTAGTCAAAATAAGTAGATCCATATCTCTATTTACAATGCTAGCCAACGTTAATCCAGGCCTATCCCGTCCTCTAATACTTCCATCTACCGTTACAGCATCGCATCTTTTCACTACTGCCTCTGTTGGTCTTCGTTGAATATGACCAAACCACCTTAATCAATTCTCTCTTAACTTATCTTCTATCGGTGCTACTTCTACCCATTCTCGAATACACTCATTCCTAATTCTGTCTTGTCTAATCTTGCCACACATCCACCTAAACATCCTCATCTCAGCCACACTCATCTTATCTATATGTTGTTTCTTGGTTGCCCAACACTCTGTCCCATACAACATCGCTGGTCTAATAGCCGTTCTATAGAACTTACCTTTTAGTCTAGTGGGTATTCGTTTATCGCACAGTACCCCAGATACACTTCTCCACTTACACCATCACGCCTTAATCCTATGGGCCACATACGCATCAATCTCTCCCGCTGTTGTGATAATTGACCCTAAATAACGAAAATGGTCTCTTAGGCAATTCTTGCTAGTAAAAACTAAAAATAAATCAAAGTCAATCAACTAACATCTTCTCCTCTCCGACATGGGCCTTGTTACATTGTCATCCATGTGGTCATAATTGTGGAATTAACTTGCATCATTGCATTTGGAGCAAAATATTATTTTTAAAATATAATTAATTATAGTCATGCAAGCAAGATGGACCCGATTGGGGGAGATGGCTGACAGCCTCCAAATTTCGAAACCCTTTTATTATAATAATAATAACATTAATTATTAAAAACAGCCTTTAAATTATATAAGTTGGCCTTCTATTAGAGAGTCATATTTTCACCGTACAATTTGGTGGACCATCAACCTAAACTATAATAAAAGCTTCCAACCTAAACTATCCCAACCTAAACAATTCACTTTTTCATTCTTTTTCCGATGTGGAATTATCAAATAAAAGTTAGCCAATGGAGATTTTTTTAATTGTTTAAAATTAAGAAAATCAAGAAAATTAGTATAAAATATTGAAACTCTCACAAGGCTCCTCACTAAATGGAATGGGAGTATAAGATTCTCTTTACATCAGTAAAACAACTCATTTTT